GGTTTTACGTTATACGCGTCCGCAAAAAAAAAAAAAAAACACGCATTGAGGAACACATGAGATTGAAATAATCTATTTTTCGATAGTTTACTCCTGCAGGAATTAATATCACTTGACTGCTTAAATCGCAAGTTTATCAAAAATTTAAAAGCAAAGAAAATAGCCGGAAAATTGACCCTTTCTTAAAAAGGAAAACGTTTCGGAGACCAGCTCCATCAGTGTTTTAGGATTTGAACTGATGATGGAGCTGGTCTCCGAAACGTTCTAATGCAGGAAATATCAAAATATCACGTATCTTTTCATATGCGTATACTTATCCTCAAATATCTATATACTGTTATTATTTTTGGTAACAGTTTAGTCTAGAAAAACGCCTCTCTTCGTAAGCCATTAACTGTCGCTCGTCTCTTTAACTTTAACTCTTATCACCCGTTCTCTCACTCAAATGTTTCAATCACTTAAACGGTTAAGAATTTTCCAAGCTTATACATGGATCTGAAATTGAAGAAAATTCAAGACTCACAGCTTTGATCATGATGAGGGTTGGTGTTGACTACGTTACTCGTAGGTGTGATGTGACACTGAGCTTCGAGTCGCTTTTATATAGTCCAGAGACTCGGATTTTTTGAGAGCAAGGTCGACTCAAATCCCCTCCCATGCCTCAGGAAGACGAGTCACAAATTCGAGTTTTTGTCATGCCTCTATCGTTGCGTCTACTTAGGTATATGTCCTTCTGATTTGATTAACACAAATTTCATTGAACGTCTTCAGAGTCTGTCACGACACCGAGATTTGTGGCAGTTTATGTTGGGATGTTGTTAATATAATGTTGTTGCAGTTTTTTGTGACAACAAGTATGTGACAGTTTAAAATCTTATTTTCTCTTTGGTGACTTTGCTACTTCAAGAAATTCACAAATTATAAATATGCACTTATTAAATAAATTTTGTTGAATAAAGGAAAATTTTGATTTTGTTTATGTTGTAATTTATTTGTAGCATAATATAACAATTTTAAACAATAAAACTTTCTTTCTGATTTTGGATTTCAAAGAGCTAAAGCGAAGATTTTAAAATGAATTATTGCAATCTGCAGGATTACCAATAAATTGGCTTAATTTCTAAATAATCTCCATTACATTTGGGTTATTAATACACTAAGCATTCACTTTTCTTACATTTGGTTACAAATAAAAAAATGTACTCATTTTGCAATGCACTTCTTACCAGTCCAGGAAATTATTTACTCGAGTGAATTTTGTTTCACCGAGAAATTTCATTTATTTATCTCTGATGGGTTAAGTTCGATGCAGAATAACAGCGAAAAATATTCTCAAGTTAACCACAACCCTTAAATTTATCCAGATAAAAACGTGTTGTGAACTCTGTCTGAACAGGACAAAAATGAGTCATTTATAGGCAACATTTCATTATATCTTCATTATGATAAAAATCATATAATGATGTCTAAAATTTCCGGCTCCCTTTTTCGCACACTTTCACTAAAGTAGAAAATTTTTTATTTGTCCTATAGACAAATAGTTTTGAAACAATTATGTAACATAAATAGTGTTGAAAAATATGCGAAAAGCATGAATTTAGAAATCGATTACAAAACCAAATGATTTAAGACAACTACCCAAAGTTGCCCATGGGCAATAAATTATTATTCATTGATTTTATCATTGCATCTACGCATTCTCTCGACTAAATAATTGGAATTAGTAATTAAAAGCAAAATTATATTGAAATCACTGAATTTTCACAAGGAATTAGATGAAAGTTCAATCTAATAAACGCAATATAGCTCGAAAAACGACGCCCCGATTAACAATAAAAGCAGTAAATTTTCAATTGATTAGAATTGTTAAAAAGTTGAAGTTTCAATGGATA